CAGCAAGCCTTCTCCAATCAACTTGCTAGAGCCCATCCTTCTGGTTGTTGTGGTGGACACCGCCATCATTTCCATGCGTCGGCGTTTCGCCACTGACTTGTTGTGCCTGATTGTGCGGGCTTGTAGCTCCGACAATGTGCACTGGTTGGGTGAGCTTCCTGCTTGACTCGATCCACCTACAGCATCAATCTGTGCATCAGCAAGGCCTTGATCTGGTTGATCGACCTCTGACGAGCTTCCCTGCGCATACTCTATGCTGAGGCTGGTGTATTGCTTGTGGATGGTCACGCATGTAAGTTGTAGCTGTTGCAAAGCGCAACACTGAGAGAGGTCTCCCAAGCACTTGACAAGAATGTGCTGCATAGTGAGACGGCCCCAAGCTTTTTCCATGATGCAAGCATTGATGTCAGCGCTACGCTTGCGCAGAGAAAAGGGTGTGTCACCGTCAACGTTCTCCGCCAATGGGTCAGCCCTGTGCGCCAGCAGACTCTGCACGCTCTCCAGCCGCGAAAACTCGGCAGTGTGCAGGGCAGTGTTGAGGCGATGATCTCGTACGTGTGGGTTAGCCTTGCTATTCAGAAGCTTGTTCACAAGGGCAGGCCTGCAGCTCAACATGGCATAATGCAATGCCGGAACCTGCCTGTCATCGCAGGCATCTGGGTCTGCGCCACCATCAACCAGCAAAGTCACAAGCTCTTCTTCGGCGCTCATCGAATTGATGGCAGCGATCAAGACCGGAACGCCATCTGACCGGCTGTTGGGGTCTTGCCCTTGCTGAAGAAAGTTCTTGACAGCGCGCGCCCGACCACTTCCGACGGCTTCAAACATCTGCTGTGTGAACTCCCGTGTCAGCGGTAGTAGAATAACATCTACACCGCTTGGCACGCCGGCGCTCTGCCATGTGCAATGTTCCGAAATCAAGTGGCCAGATGCACTCGCAACCACACAGAAGCGGTGGCACCATCCAGCAGAGCTCACTGCTGATCTGACCAAGTCAAGCAAGCTCTGTTCCTCACTTGGGACCCTCAGCAGCAAAAGCTGTTCGCCTGTCACCGCAAATCGAACTACAATCTCAGAACCGCCCCACACATCGGAAGAAGGTGTCTCAGGGAGAGCTGTAGAATGCTGCGCAGAGCGCCACAGCTGCCTGCACTGATAGCAAGCGGATTCCCACTGCCGCTTTGGAGTGGCATCATTGAAGGGGTTCGGTAGCGCTGCCAAGCTTTCTGGACACATTCTGATTTCCTTACCATGTTCTCGAAGGAATGACATGAAAATTCTTAGCCGCTTGTTGATTCGCTGGACTGCCGATGGATCAGGGTCCTTGTCAGGAGATGATGTTGTTTGCAATGCCAAGGCATGTCTGGCTTCCTCTAACCCTGCCTCCCACAGTTGATCGTCGACAACCAGCAATGGCGACATAAACTCAAACAACTTTGGGTTTGCAATCAGCAAATCTTTGAACTGATCGCAAAACCACTCGACCGTCTCGACCCTGCTCTGCCACGCTTCTGCAGAGCGCACGTCTTCGGCGACAGACGCAGCTCCCCCCCACACATCCAGACCAGCGGTAGCACTGCTTGCCAAGGACTGAGACAAGCGCAGTGATTGTCGCAGGGTTCTAACCATCTTCAGTGCTGATTCACGTTCAGCAATCTGAGAGCCTGACCAAGTGGATAGTAGAGATTTTTGATTCAGAACGTGGAATATATAGGCCAAATGCTTGCAGCGCTGGCATCTGGCAGAACAAAGCTGCGATGATGACAGAAGGTCGAGCATATGAGTGCATCGCTTGATCTCTGGCCAGAAAAGAATCAGCAGAGCCAACTCAAGGAAATTGAAATCTTGGTCTTGCAGCAACATTAAGAGGAACCCGGACGTGAAAAGCCTGATCCGCCAGGCACGCCTGTCAAGCGCAACATCAGTAGGGTCAGGCAACGTACAGCGCAAGTGACGATGGCTTGAAAGAACTGGCATGTACGTTTGCAAATGAGTCCGAACTGCGAAGTGCTGCTCCCTGATCCTGCTGTTTGCTCTTCTGTGAAAGTTGGCAAGACAGGGCGTACTGAAATCTAAACGAACGGGCACTTGCTCCACAACGCCAACGCTGCAAACGCAAACTTGCTTGTTGGTTTTCACACCCAGTGACCAGCTCAGAATCGATTTCAATCCGCTATGTTTTCGCGCAGTCCTTAACATCTCCAAAGTATTGCCGCGCACAGACAAGCGGTCCTTCCAAGAAGATGTCTCCGACAACCAAATCAAGTGAAGAAAAAGGATTGTATTTGCCATGTACAGCGTGTGAGCGCGACTGGCAGACAGGCTGTTTGAAGCAAAGATCATGTCAAACAAGAATGTAAAGGACCGAACTTCTGGCCAAAAGAAGGCATATAAGGACAGCGACAAGACACTGTAGTCGTGTGACTGCAACAAATCCAAGAAGAAACTGGTGGCAGACAGCCGGAGAACCCATGAGCTCCGGTCCAAAGTGAATGCTAGAGGGCTAGGCAAAATCCAGAACAGTTGGGGGCATTGCTTCAAAATTGGCAAGAGTGGTTCAATTGCCCTTTGGAACTCACGCAGCTGTTTGGAGACTTGCTGGTGATGCGCTGAGTTGAGAGCTGGACCAGGAAAACAATACTGGTGGCGAAGCACTTGCTGCGGCTCTAAGCCGCTGACTGATTGCTCCATTTGACCGATGTTGGCACCTCCAGACACATCACAGAACTGGCGTTGGTGCGCGAGGCAAGGACAGACAGACCACATGGAAGGGTTGAGGGACCAAGAAAAGATATCGCACCAATGACGATGCAAGACGTCAACATGTTGCAGTCGCTCACAGCAACTCAGAATACACATGGAAGCTGCAGGGCCTGGTGGAGCCAGCGAGAACAATGTGTTGCTATCAGCATCACGAACCAACGGGTCTGCACCGTGCAAGAGCAATGTGTCTAGTGTTCGAAAGCTGCAGAAGGCTCCCGAATGCACTGCTGCAGAACCACTCGAATCACACAGATTCGGATCCGCATTGCTTAGGAGCAGCTGTTCAGTGGCAAACGGTCTGTCATGGAGAACTGCTATGCGCAAAGGGCTGAGACCTTGGGGAGGAAAAAGATTCACGTCAGCATTTCCCTTCACAAGCATTTTGATTGATGGCACGCTGCCAATCTCCGCTGCCCAACCCAAGACTGAAGTGCATATCGCGCAGTTTGGGTCCTGTCCGGCTTCCAAACAGCGTTTGATTGCCATCACATCGCACAAATCAACTGCGTCGAACAGGTCTTCTGTGAAATGCATGACTTTCGGCTTCTTGACAATATGCACGACAGATGGCCAACCGAGCGCCTGCCATGATGAAGTTTCTGAAATTTGCGTTTCGAAGCAAAACGCACCGATAGTGAAGTACGGCAAGCCAAGTTTAGCGCTCACATGGTCTCTGACGATATCCAAGAAGTTGCAATGCCCCCACTCCAAATACATTTGGAATGCGCTGAGCAAATCATCTGTCACAGCGGACTTCACAAGCACTTCCGTGCGCCTGTCTTCCTCCACAACCTTTGCCTTCTCGGTTTCTGCCAATAGAACACACATGTAAGAACAAGGAGCTGGTGTGGCACCCCTAGTCACATCGCAACCTCCCCACACATCGTGAACATTGCTAATAACGCGCCCATCAGACTGCACAGCAAAAATCAATTCCCACTGTCTAGCAATGGCAGGACACCACTCCTGCACACTGCCAACGTGCTTGTGCCGGGTTGTCCGGACAATGCAACTACCATCGGGCCAAATCTCCAAGCCGACGAAGTGGCGGTCACGGTATAGGACATATTTGCCAGGCCTCATGTCCTCTGGCTTGAAGACAGGTACCAGCTGCTTCCTGGAAAGGGCGCGCAGCAGTTTCAAGAAATCTAGCAGATAACCAAAAGTTATTTGCAACCAAGTGTCTGGAACGGGCGCAAGAAGCGGTTCCCATCAGTTAGTGCCCGGAAAGGACCATCCTCCACGTAGGGAACGTTGAAACCCAAAGAGCGGAGCGCATCTACCAAGCAGACATCTTTCGGAGCAAAGTCAGTCTCATAGGGCCTGAGAAAGCGAACGCGGACACATGTTCAGTTACAAACTGCACGCGTGGCAAACCAGTCCGAGTCACCTTCGTGTTGGAAATTTCTTATTCCGCAAGCTGCTGGCGGCTTCACCGGGATTATCCTCCACAGCTTCGATGACTTTGCTTTCTGCATACACTTTCGACTGAAACTCATCGAAAGTTGCATTGTCACGCCGGGCTTCCACCAGGCGCTTCTCCACCCAGCGTCTTCGAAGCTTTCGGAGGGCGCTCCGCAATACATTGTCCCAGTAACGCTTCTCACGACGTCTCTGTCGCTGTCGTTTGGTGAGGTGAGAATAATCTTCCCACGGGTACTCTGTCGGGGCGACTCCAACAAAAAGTACATCATTATCGCCGCCAAATGCATCTTTGTTGACAGCTGTCGTGAATGTAGGCAATGCCCTTAGCCATACATGTTATTCTGTACACTACAAGTCTTGCTTCCGGGTGTATTGCGGCTACAACTTCATAGTGCAAACCAGAAGCTGGCTTTCAGTCTCAGGGGCATCGTTGGTGGATGAAGCTTGGCCAGAGCAACCTTGAAAGGTGCAGGAACAAGAGTTGGATACCGTTTGCTTTACATGTGAAGCCGAGGCTCCTTTGCAGCGAAATCTTCGATACCATGTAGGCCTGGGAATTTTGGTGGGCCGCTCACGTTCTTGCCGCGCGTGGCTGTCTGAACCTGCAAAACGCGAGCCAATGATAGCAGTTTGACGCTGTTTGCGTGGAAGGTTTGCGCGTTGTAACTGTTCCTCCGAAGCCCGCCTGAACTGGTCGCAAACTGTTCAGACTTCTTACAACCTCAGTGTGGGTGCTTAATGGGTCCGTAGCTTCGTTGCGGACTCGCAAGAACAATGAAGGCAAGCAGCAGCCAGCGCAGAGCAGCAAGAAGGCTCGACCATGCGCGATCTCAAAAGCCATGACGAGGTGACTGCCTCAAAGGCCAACATTGTCCACGACAGAACATACCATGCTAAAAGTTTCAGATGCTGCAGGTGGCTATGCCCTGTAGAATGCAGACAAGGCGCTGAGAGAAAAGGGCGGGACGAACAGGCTTGTACTTTGAGCACGGGAGCTGCAGTGTTGCTAGCGAGCTGATTGTCTCTCACTCTGTCAAGTTTCCAGTGGTTTTGTTCTGCGCGCTGCGTCGAAGTATGTGATCGTTGACGCATTGGGCTCAGGATTGCCGGTGTAATGGTTTTCAACTTCTGAGAGAACAGGCGCGCACACCGTCAGGACTCTTTGTGACAGAACTGAGAAAACGCAGCTAGACACAAGCAAGGGCCCAGTAGACAGCTTGTCAACAGTTGAAACGTGACAGGTGCACGCAGCGTCTTCATTGGCCGCTGACTGCAGGAATCCCCAGCAGCCTCAACTATTGTAGTCAAGCTTGTGGTGAGTGATCGGGGTTTATGAAATAGGCAGGCGCGCTCTTGCAGCAGGCCAGAGCCTATGCATCACACAAATAATTTCTCTTGTTTCTGTGTATGTGCACTTGTGTGTCTGCGCGCGCGCTTGTATCACTACAAACTACAGACGCCATCGACAACACACCAACACATTTACTGCGATGGCCTCCTCCTTCTGAGAGGTTTTCTCATGTTCACATACTTCTAGTCTTCACTGGATTGACGCTACCTTCGTCGGAGGTTTTGGTACAACAAACTTGTAGGCTTGTGAAGTCTGGTTTTAGCCAACCATTGAAAATCATGATTTATTTATTTAGCAAAAATGTTGCAGATTTATGTAGAAAGGGGGGAAGCACCTGGGAATCTATAGTGCTTCACATAGTGAAATAGATTCGGGTGCGGAAAGCAGTCTGAGACAAGTCCTGAGATATCCTGAGATGCCAGAGAGAGAGAGAGAGCAGGCAGACTCCGGTTGCAGGCGCCTTCCCAAGGTCGCCTGGGAACCGCATCACGTATTCCCTTTTCGAGTCCGCGCGAGAGAGAGAGAGAGAGAGGGGGAGCGAGGGAGCGGGGAGCCCTGAGAC